TAGGAACAGAGGATCCCTGGGGCTTGCTAGGCACCCGATGGGTGGGCTCTGTAGGCAGTGAGAGACCTTGCCTCATAAAGTAATAAGAAAGGACAATTGAAGAAGACATTTGACATTGACCTCTGGCCTCTATAAGCATGAATACACGCACATAAACATGTATACACACACACACACACACACACACACACACACACACATACTTACATACAGCTGATACTTAAAGTTTATACAATATAATGATAAAATGTCAATGGAAACAGAAAATAAGTTATCTAATTAAAATTTACACAATAAAATTTTTCTAGGAAAAAAGTTGATACTTAGACAAATTAATTTTAAGAGCAATTAAAATTATTATAAAAACAAAAAAGAAAGTAACCAGTTTAACAGTTTATACATGAGTTTCAATACTTACAAAAACTGCAGAAAAAATTAAAAAATAAAGCGGGAGCTGGAGAGAGATGGCTCAGTGGTTAAGAGCACTGGCTGCTTTCTCAGAGGACTCAGGTTCAATTCCCAGCACCCACATGGCAGCTCACAACTATCTGTAACTCTAGTTCCAGGGAATCTGGCACCCTCATACAGGCAGGAAAAACATCAATGCACATTAAAAAAATAGCAATAATAATAATAATAATAATAATAATACTTCTTTAAGTTGTGATTTTATTATAACCCTGATATAAAGAAACATAAAAATTAAAATATGAATATGTAAACTATTTAATATAAAAATATAACAAGTGTAGCTCATTATGTCAACACTTTAAGGAGAAAAGCACTGCTTTATACAAAAACTCTTCAGTAGGCTTGGACAGAAATGTTTCCGACTCTAAGGCAACATATCAGAAAACTACAATTACGGTCATATTTGTGGTGAATTCTTAGAAACTGCGAGGGAACTGTACTCATGAAATTGACGGCTAGAGGGCGGAAATGAAGAGGGAGTTCAGCTAGAAGGTCTCAGTAGAGGAGGGGTGGTAGGGGTGGTAGAAAAGATTTGGCTTATAGGTAAACCCAGAAGAAGACGAGGCTAATTAGGCAGAGAAAAGGGTGAGAAGAGAACAAAGAACAGAGCATCCGGGAACACTAATTAAGGAACCCATGACACTCGACTACTGTGGGCGAGTCCAAGGGAGCAGAGGAGCAACAGGAGAATAGAGAAGCCTAGATTGTGATGGCTGCAGGATGAGTACACGGGGTGGTAGAATCCCCGGGTTTATTAATTAGAGGCGGTGGTTGACCTTAGCCGAAGCTGTGCTGCGAACTGAAGGCATGTGGGTGGACATTCAGTGAGAGGACAGGACACAGAAGCAGAAAATAGGCACTTCCACTACAGAAGGGAAGTGAGCCCTGTGGAGCCACTCTGAGAAGGAAGCCAAGTCCAGGGGAGGTGTCAGCGGGCTGTGGTGAAATCCTCAGCTTTGTGAGCCCACGGAGGGGGTGGGGATGCGACCTGCTTGCGCAAAAGAAAGGCTGAGACTGTGTCAGAAAGGGAAACGGATCAGCAAGCTCCTCTGGAGGCATCGGGAAACTGACTCTACTAATAGAAAAAAATCATACCCCATGTTTCTCCAAGCAAAACCACAAAGGTAATCATTCATTAACCCAAAAGGCGTTAGTGAAGTAGCTACCGCGTGCCAGGGGATGTTATTCTGCAACCTAAACCGAAAATGAATCCAAGTGAAGAACCAGACAAGAACTTGGCCTTCCCAGCCTGGGCTAAATAAAAGAGTTACGCCTTTGGCGGAAGTTCAAGTGTCCTTACGGCAAGCCGTCCCTGAGGTTGGTCCTTACTTGTTACAGAGAATAACTGAGACCCAGAACCTGGGATTAGAACTCAGAATTCCTTTACCACTGAGGCAGCGCGAGGTAGATTTAACTGCAGTGACACGATTGAACTGGAGCTGATGGAGGAATTCTTGCAACCCTGTGGTGCTGATGCACTCAAGGCTTTGATGATGATGATGATGATGATGATGATGATGATGATGATGATGATAAAATGATGGTGAAAGACAAGGACAAATGCTCCATATTACCAATAGGCTGGACATCTGAACCTTTGCTCCAGGGAAACCCAACTACTGCTTCTCTTTTAGGTTTTTCTGTTTTACTGAAATCCAGCCTGATCTAGTTAAATTCATCAGGCCATGCTTGCTAAACATCAACAGAGATCTTCACAGTAATTAAATGACTTTTTTTTTAAAAATCAGGTTTGAGAAGAAAAAGTAGGGGAGGTACATTCTGATTTTCCTTCTGAAATAAGTACTCAAGGATGGACTGGGAAAGGTTCCTGACATATGGCCCAGGGCTTCACTCTGAGTTACACACAAGGAATCTACAGCAAGCGGAGAACGATTAAATGTGTGCACAGGGATTTGGAGAAAGTCTGGGAGGAAAGAGCCTTTGACATTACTGAGTGGACACGTCTTTCCTGGCAATAATATGCAGGGCTAACAGATGGATGCCTAACTTAGAACTTCGGACACCTAAAACATCAGGCACCATTTTTCTATTGTGTGTATTACCTATTCTCTGAGTAAAATTTGTAAATAAAAAAAAAAAAAAAAAAACCAAAAAACTTTTGCTAGTGGTCGTGGGGGTGGGGCATTTGGTGTACTTTTGGGAAAGTTCCCATGTGTACAGATGAATCAACATTTGCACCAGGACAGAGTTGAGCCCTGAGTGCAAGTCCTTATGACATCCCATATCATAAAAATTTTCTCAGAGGTCCTTGTCATTCATTCTACGGAGTCTTTAGAGAAATTGCTTTTCTCCACACCCATTGCTCAAGAATAGGCTTTAAACTTGTTTAAGAGTTGAAGCAAGGGCTGGAGAGATGGCCCAGGTCTTAAGAGCATTGTCTGCTCTTCCAGAGGTCCTGAGTTCATATTCCCAGCAACCACACGGTGGCTCACACAACCATCTACACAAGGATCTGATGCCCTCTTCTGGTACGTAGATGTACATGCAGATAGAGCATGTATATACATAAAGTAAATAAATAAATCTTAAAAAATAAAATAATAAATAAGTAAAAAATCTGGGTTATAATCCCAACCCTGGGAAAGCAGGGACAGATGCTTGTTGGAGCTCAGTGGCCAGCCAGCCTAGCTCAAGCAATGAAGGCTCATCGAGAGACCCTGCCTCAAAAAATATGGTGAGGAGAGATTAAGGAAGACACCCAACTTCAACCTCCAGTTTCTATGTACAAGTCTCTCTCTCTCTCTCTCTCACAGACACACACACACACACACACACACACACACACACACACACAGAGAGAGAGAGAGAGAGAGAGAGAGAGAGAGAGAATATTCCCACACAACTCCTACCCTGGACACACACAGCTTCCCAGTTATCTTCCACTAGAGTGGTTCAGTTGTCACAACCAATGAAGCTTCCTGACGTATTCTTACTGAGTCCATCATTTCCACGAGGGCTCTCTGGGTGTTGATTGTCTTGCGGGCTTGGACAGATTTACAATAAAGTGTTCCACCATTAACGTGTCACACAGAGAGTTCCCCCTGCCCTGCGTGCTTATCCATCCCTTCCACCCTCCCAGCCCCGAGTCCCTGATAGCAAATCTGTGATCTCCCCACAGTTTTACTCTTTTCAGCATGTGATACAGTTGGGACTGTGCAGTCCACAGCCTTTTCAGAGGCATCTTTTGCTTAATAATAAGCATTTCCAAAATCTTTAGGTGTTCTGTGTCTTGACAGGTGGCTTCTTTTTAGTTCTAAGTCATTCCATTGTCTAGATGTGCTCCCTGACTCCATTTTTAGATTGTCTGACCCTTGTATTCCCACGCCCCTCTCATCCCACCGAAACACAAGCTAAGCTTCGGAGAGGTGGTCTAACGATGAGAAAAGGATTGAAGTTATGATTTAAGCTAAGGCTCACATATTTTCCTGTAGCTAATTACTCATGTCCTACTTTGCAAAAAAAAAGGGGGGGGGAGGGGCCTGAATTTCCATTCAAATGTACAGTAATTCTCCCTGCAAATGTACTGGAGTATATTTATCTCCCAGGGGAAAAAAAGTCTTGCCTCCAGGATGAATCAGACTGAGATGAAATTTTACTCTAACATTTAGAGGCAAGGAAGAAAGAAAGGGAAAAAAAACAAATAGTGAAAAATAAGAAAGAGAATGAGGAGAGAGAATAAAAACTTGTTAACTGTAGGCTTCTCCGAGCAAGGTTTTTTTTTTTCTCTCTTTTACAAGTTAGCAGTTGCTGAATAATTCGTGACAGCACGGAAGGAAGGCTCTTCTCGCTGGGTGATGGATAACTGAGCAGGAGAGCGAGCGCTCCAAGTGGGTTTGTCACATCAGCCAGCGCTCTTGCTCAGCACAGGGCGCGCTCCTCCAGCTCAGCTTCTGCTCCTGCAGCCAGGCACCCTCTCTGCTGCTGCCTGCCCACCCGCCCTGGGCTTGCAGCCTACCACTTTTCCTCTCTCCACTGCCAGCTGAGGAGACTCCCCGCAGCTGCTGCCTGCTGCCTGGGACCATGTGCGTGGATGCTGCTTGCGAGAAGCAAGGCGCTTGCTGCTGGCATGGATCCCGGCTCAGTTTCTCCCGTTGACTTCTGGACCACAGATGCTGCCGCTGAGGAGGGATTTCCTGGCATCTCTCCCTCTGCTATCACCAGCTAAGGACTGGCCCCAAATCAAGGTAACTTCCATTCCCTCTCCTTGGCATTTTTCCCCAGCCAGGATATCTCCACTAGTTCCCGGTAACGAGGGGCCCTGGTTGGCAACACACATTCCCAACTCCTCTCTCTCTCTCTCTCTCTCTCTCTCTCTCTCTCTCTCTCTCTCTCTCTCTCTGTGTGTGTGTGTGTGTGTGTTTGGGGAAACTGTTCCTGGTATCGGCAGGACCTTGGGGCTTCCCTGCTGCTCGCTCGCCGAGTGTTAAGCGGACCTTCTCTGTCGCTGGAGACATTTCCGAGGCAGGCACCTGTCATTTGCGACCCCCGTTCTTCTTCAGCTCCCGCTCTCTCCCCCTCCCCTCCCCCCTCAGCCCATTATCCGGCTTCAGCCTTTTGTGTTGGTGGCAGAGGACTGAAGGGATGTTTTTGTCCTCCCAGCAGGGAAGTGTCAGGATGGGCCAACGCTAGGGCGCGAGGTGTGAAGAGTTGGACCAGAATGACCAACTCCACCTCTAGTTCGACCTCCACAACCACCGGGGGATCGCTGCTGCTGCTCTGCGAGGAAGAAGAGTCGTGGGCAGGCCGGCGGATCCCGGTGTCTCTCCTGTACTCGGGGCTGGCCATCGGGGGCACTCTGGCCAACGGTATGGTCATCTATCTGGTGTCGTCCTTCCGAAAGCTGCAGACCACCAGCAACGCCTTCATAGTGAATGGCTGCGCCGCGGATCTCAGCGTCTGCGCCCTCTGGATGCCACAGGAGGCTGTGCTGGGGCTCCTGCCCGCCGGCTCCGTCGAGCCCCCGGGGGACTGGGACGGCGGCGGGGGCAGCTACCGCCTGCTCCGGGGAGGGCTGCTGGGCCTCGGGCTCACCGTGTCTCTCCTGTCCCACTGCCTCGTGGCGCTGAACCGCTACCTGCTCATCACCAGGGCGCCCGCCACCTACCAGGTGCTGTACCAGCGGCGCCACACGGCGGGCATGCTGGCCCTGTCCTGGGCGCTCGCCCTGGGCCTGGTGCTGCTGCTCCCGCCCTGGGCCCCCAAGCCGGGAGCCGAGCCCCCGCAAGTCCACTACCCCGCGCTGCTGGCGGCGGGCGCGCTGCTGGCGCAGACGGCGCTGCTGCTGCACTGCTACCTGGGCATCGTGCGCCGCGTGCGCGTCAGCGTCAAGAGGGTCAGCGTGCTCAACTTCCACCTGCTGCACCAGCTGCCCGGCTGCGCCGCCGCCGCCGCCGCCTTCCCCGCCGCCCCGCACGCTCCGGGCCCGGGGGGCGGCGCCCACCCCGCGCAGCCCCAGCCCCTGCCGGCGGCGCTGCAGCCTCGCCGGGCGCAGCGGAGGCTCAGCGGCCTGTCCGTGCTGCTGCTCTGCTGCGTCTTCCTGCTGGCCACGCAGCCCCTGGTGTGGGTGAGCCTGGCCAGCGGCTTCTCCCTCCCCGTGCCCTGGGGCGTGCAGGCGGCCAGCTGGCTCCTGTGCTGCGCCCTGTCGGCGCTCAACCCGCTGCTCTACACGTGGAGGAACGAGGAGTTCCGGAGATCCGTGCGCTCCGTCCTGCCCGGCGTTGGGGACGCGGCTGCAGCCGCTGCTGCCGCCACCGCGGTGCCAGCCATGTCCCAGGCGCAGCTGGGCACCCGGGCGGCTGGCCAGCACTGGTAACCCACCTTCCTGTGACACCTGCCGCCTCGCCTCCTCGGTTTGTGAGCGCTTCCCAGCCCCGGCGAAGATCCCCCCCGGGGAAGATTTTTGCCTTCCTTCCTTCCCAGTGCAATGCCTGAACCAGGGTCTGCTGTCCCTAAAAGCAATCGTGTGCAGCCGCCCAACTTTTACCCATTGTTTCTGTGTTTCAGAGACACCCTTACGTCCAAGGCACGCAGACGGCAAGGACGTGCAAAACTGGCGTTTTTTAAAAAGAACCAGTTAATTTATTTCAAGTTTGCTTTAAAAAAACAAAACAAAACAAAACAAAACAAACAAAAAAAAAAGAGCTTTCCTAACATAACAACCCTCCCAGCCTCCATCGTCTTATATACGAAGCGCCTCGAGTGTGTGAGTGTGCATGAGCCAAAGGTTATACCATTGAGGGAGAAACTGTGTAGACAGTATTTTAATCACGCTTCCTTCTGTTATAGTTTAGTCTTTGTATATTGTATATTGACCCTGAAGAGTGAAACCACAGGTGTATACACCGGTGTGAATTGCCATTGAGACCTCAAGCCCTTTATTCTTAAAAGGGTTCTTATTGAGTCATTTTTGAATTGCGATAGACTCGCAGCCAGTGAGGAAACAAATTTATTGTTTTACACTCTCTATTCACGTCTGAGGTGGAAAGCTACAGTTGAGTGTTAAAGGAAAAAAAAAAAAAAAAAAAAAAAGAAGTCAGGTTTGTTAATGGATGGTCTGAGACCAGAGATGGAATTTCGGAAACAAAACCAGGGGGTTATCTATTTCAGGTACCAGCTTCACATTTTCTAAAGCATGCGGATCTCTTGCTACCCACATCAGTAACCGATTTATTTGCCTCTGAGTGTGATCGCAGCTTTGAACATTCTGTACTGTCATGGTTGCTAAGGAGAATGACTCCTGTTTTCTCTTTAAAATATCTCGATGCACATGATATGATGACACACTAATACCAGAACTGCATACATAATGTTAGTGGCTATTGCATGCTCCTAGATGCTAGAACTTATCGGGCATGTGGTACACAAAGCAATACCCACCGGACACGGACAGTTTACCTCTTCCAGACACCAGAAGGAATGGCCTTTAAATATTTGAAAAGAGACACAGATACATCTGTGACTACGTGTCTTGACCTGGTTTATGAAAAAAAACAAAATCCCATTTTGGGACTTGGGCTCCCAAATAAAACCAATGGTCAAGATGACAGAATAAAAACAGATTGGCTCTGCCAAGCCATCTGTGCTGTTTAGGGGTTAAACAAGCCACACGTTAGGAAGCGACACTGTTTTATGTTGTTCACATATATGACCATGACATCTAATATTAGCATAGTGTCTGTTGAAGACAGAATTATGCTACACGCAGTTATGCATAAAAGGAACATTTCAAATGGGACTCTGTTCTTAAATGTTGAGGTTTACCATCTTCATCTTTGACTTCCTAAATGTTTTTAGATGCATTTGCAATGTGCAAAACCGTGTGAAATCATCCTGTACAATTAAACAGGGAAGAAAGTAATAGGAGGCACAGATCAGTCTGTTAGCCACATAAAATCTGGGTCCAAACAGTCTCAATTCACTGCGTAATTCAGGAGCAGAGACAGCCTGCTTTGTTACACTCTTGGACCAAGAACGGTAAGAACACTTGTACAGTTGAAAAATTATGGGGGAAACAGGAGATGGACATTTTGTAGCAAAAGAAAAGACAATAAAGATGTTTGTCACTAACAGCACATTGGCAGTCATGTTATTAACCAAACTGTGTGCATGCGCCATTTCTCATCTGTTCCTGCTTTCCTGGATTCAGATATTTAATTAAAGTTTAGATAACACTTCTCCTGGGTCTATTTCTTCTTTCTCTGGCTATCTTCTTTCTGTCTCTGTCTTGAGGATACTGTACCAGAAGACTCTGTGTTCCAAAACATTAGTGATGCAAAATGACACCTTTTTGCTGGCTGTAAGTTTATTTTTGGTTTCTAAAATGCTTTCTACTTCATATAGTTACATAAGGCCCTTACACTGGTCTGGGAAAAAAAAATAGACATGTTTCCTTTCTGTAAATGCTGTGCAATGGGTCAGAATGATAACAGAGAGGCAAGAATTTTCCACTGGGGGTACAGGAGGACGCCTTTCGAAAGCTTTGTCAACAAGCTCTTCTTCTTAGGCATTGTCCTTGTTTCTCATTGTGGATGGTGCAAAGCAGTCCCCTCTCTGTCCCTATAATGTGCCACATGTATAAAGAGCTTTGCAAATGAGGACCTGAGGCCTTGCCTTATTTCTGCCTAGCACCGAGAGCCGTTTGCTGGCACATTGCCATGCAGAAGACCTACTTTCCATTAATTTACTAGTAATTAACTCCACAGGACTGATTCACTCTTCATTTTAATGTAGCCCTGATGCATCTAAAAATGCCTTTCGAAGCGTTGCCTGTGAGTGTTGGAGTTACTGCTTTGACAAAGTAAATTAACGGAGATCGTGTTCTTTTTTAAGTGAAACCACATATTATCTACCCAGGAACATATATATTAAAAAATCCTAACTGCTATCCTGGGCTGCCCTAATTTGCTTTTGTGCTTTTTTTTTTTTTTTTTTTTATCTTTATGCCTTTTAAGATGTATAACATCTGCCTGCCTTCTGCATGCACTTAAAGGGTGAAATTCTGGGAGAGAATAGGCTCTATCCCCAGAATTCTATTTCTTCCAAAATGAAGAGTGTTAATAAACAAAAATTCTACTGGTTCAGGGGCATTTGCCGATGGCATTTTAAGTCAGATAAATTTCTCTTTGTCTCAGAATTACAGAAAAATATTTCCACACTGGATGTTTCTTTTCCGAGGGACTCAGCAGAGAATGGCATGCAGCAGAGGAAGGGGTAAAGGGCAAAGAATCTTTCCTTAAACCACTGATCAGAAAGTGAGTGAAAGGATCTACTTGTCAACAGATCTGCTTTGGGCTCACAGTGGAGGACTACCCTGTTCTTCTGATGACTATATTAACTGACTTCAGTGTTTGTTTGTTTGTTTGTTTGTTTTTTGTTTTACCACCTTTATTGCACAGTCTAGGGGTGCAGATGACCCTTGGCTGGCTCTATAGCAGTCTTAGTGACTAACTTGACAAAGACCTCATGGCATAGCTCTTTGTCGAAGCACATGGGGAGCCGGGGCCGTGGCTCAGTCAGCAATGTGCTTGCCGTACAGGCATGAAGACCCTAGTTCAGATTTCTACAATACATTTAAAAAGCCAAGTGTGGCATGGCATGTCTGTAATTCCAGTTCTGGGAAGACAGAGACAGATGGACTTGCTGACCAGCCACTTCAGCTGATGGGTGAGTTCCAGATTCCAGTGGGAGAATGTGACTCAAAAAATAAAGTGGGGAGCAAATGAAGAAGATACTTGACATCAAGCACGCAGCACATTTGCACTCATATGAATATTGTACACACACGCACACACAGAAGAACATTGCGATCACAATTCCCCTTCCTTTCAAGGCCTGTCCTTAGTGTTTACAGCTTGTGGGGCAAGAATGGAGCTCCAGATGGAGCTCTTGGTCTATGGCTTTTTCTTCCTTGGCCTTTTCTTCCTTGTTTTTTTGCCCTTTTAACATCTCCAGGGCGCAAACGTGTGTTGTTCAGCCCACAGACCTGAGTTCTGACTGTATTCCTATCTCAGCCAGATACTGGGTCACCTCTGGCACGTGAACAGTCCCTGAAAGTGGCTCTTTGGGCGGTGAACTTGTGGTTTCCAGGCACTTGCCTCTGTTGCAGGAGATGCAAGCCCCAGGCTGGCATATGTGCTTGTGGGATGGGTAGTCAGAGGAGGACAGAAGGCCTCCCTTTAAAGTGCAAGACCTCGGTTGTGGTCCCAGTTTCTCAAAGTGCAGTTGTGTTTTTCAAGACACGTGTTTATACGTTCTGTCCAGGCATCCTTGACCAGCCTGTCCTACTTACAGAGCCTCCTCACTTGAGCCCCACGCTGAGATTTCCAGATACGTCGGAAGCCCTGATGCATAGCTGAAGGTAAAGGAAAAACTGCAGCTGAAGTAGAGGTTGGATAGGAATGTCTGTTGGAAGGAGGCAATGGGTACCTGGGCTGCCTTGCACAATTCTCCCTACTGCTGTGTGCCTTTGGAAATTTTATAAGAACGCGCGCGCGTGCCTTAAACGGTGTAGCCAAAGCTAAATAAATGGTAGAAGAGAGAGAGAGAGAGAGAGAGAGAGAGAGAGAGAGAAGAAAGGAAGAGAAAAAGCACAGACGTGAAAGTGATCAAAGCCTGAGATCCCACAAGGTTAATTAAATACACAGACCGGGACTGAAAGGTTGGTTTGACTCTGACCAGGAGACTACAGCTAGCACGACGGAGGTAACAATCGGAACTGAAGTGTCCAGTCCCCTTCACAGTGTGACCATCCCTTAAGCTGTCTCCCTGACTCAAATCCGTTGCTATAGCACACACAGTTGTCTGCACACTAGCTCTAAGCACAGACCAGATCTATGTGAGTTTCGGATCATGCAAGGGCTTTACTGGGTTATTCTAGCTTTTCCTTCTGGAAAGCTTCATTCACTGTCTACCTCCTCACCGGGGCTTCTCTGCCCCAGCTTTGGGCTCCTTCTCCATAGAACTCATGTGCAGCATTAGTCTTACACATTCCCTTTTATATTACCTCTTTTTTAAATGTGTGTGTGTGTGTGTGTGTGTGTATGTGCATGTGAGAGAAAGAGAATCTTCAAAACTAGACAGAAAAATTATTTTTTCATTTATATTTTATCTATTTTGTAATGGATTTTTTTCACAACCAGTCACTTGAAGTACATTATAATATTTAATATATGTTTATACCTGATAACAGTAATTTTCAACTTTTAAATTAATTTATGCTCATATAAAAATAGATGGGTTTTTTATTATGGCATCTCCATGCTTATGTGTCATGATAATGACAGTTTTTAAAGAAAAAAGATTTGACTTGTTCTCAAGCATTTATTTTTCTCTTAATGAAATAGACCTAGGAATAAATCCTAGTTCCCAAGTCATGTCTTGCCAAAGGCTATCCCAGGGCAATAAAGTATGGGACTGTGAGACAGGTGTCAAGGAACATGCTGCCAGCACTGTCATTTGAGAAAGGTTGCTACTCCTGTCATACTCAAACTGTTCACATGACTAAGTCAGCACGAGGATGTTCTGGCTCTAATCACTGCTTTAAATTCAGTGCTGGAGTGCTCAAGATGTGTGCTTATTTCCGAGGGTTTTACATAAGAAAGCTGTGTGTTTTGACTTGAGGAAGCCTTACATGTTGCTAATCAATGAGCAGGAACTGTTGCCAGAGCCTGGGAGAGATTACTATGGGATGTCTTTACATCTTCTCTACAGTTCAGGGGGCGGACAGCTTTGGAGAAAGTGCTGAAGGCCACCCAGGCTGAGGTTTTGCTCTATTTATTAGACAGAAAATGTTTGAACTTTCAAAGCTTTTCTTATGAGAAATTGGTCCCAGTTTCCAGTTTTGTGTTTTCAAGAACAGAAAAGTGTCTGGCATCCTTTGTGTGGTGGGGCTGGACAGACTCTGCTTTTAGCCAAATGGCTATGATATGTTGGCATGGTTTTATCTTTTAGCAGTATAAAATACAACCTTCTTTCCAAAAGTTTTTATTTGAGCTTTGTGTATGTGTGTGGTGTGTGTTCACACATGCTATTAAAGATTAGAGGCCAAGTCTTGGGAGGACAGAAATATGCCACAGTAAGCCAAACGATCATCCCTCCTCCATCTTTGATAAAGTTGAGGATGATTCAATGGGAGTCAATGGCTCAGCAAATAAAAGTGCCTACCGGCAGCACGGACGAACTGAGATCTATAAAGCCGAGGCTGGAGGATGTAACTCAATATGGGTGCCACATTAGGTTCACTAGCTCAGCTCACATGGGATGAATAACTATTCTTGGTCCAGGTTGAGAGAAGAGGACAGAGACCACATGTCTTTCACATAAGACCTTGCCAAAAAAAAAAAAAAAATAAAAAGAGCCTCTTTGTGGCAAAAATTTGGGTGGGTAACTATTTCCCATGTAGTAGGCAACTCATATGGTTTGAAGATAGTGAAAGTGGCAGCAAAAATGACACTCTTCTGTCTGAGTATGCATCCTGCAGTTTTTGAATCACTGACAGGTAGGCATAGCATAGAGTCACTGTGATGAACTGTGGCACTGGGTCTCTGTCCAGCTTTGTCAACCAGAAGAAATACCTTCTAGCTTCTGACCACAGGTAAACCAACCACTGATCATATCAGGCACTTTTAGCTAGGTATCTTTCATCCAGAACCTAAGTGCAAGATGGAGCAGTAAATAAGTATGGTATTTGTGATTTTTTTTAAAACAATGTTATGGAGCATGATTAAAGAAGGAGAAAATGGCTCAGTTGGAGGAAAATTGCTAAATAGAAAAATGATATTTCATTTATGTTTTTTAATTTTTATTTTTTATATTAATTATAGTTATTCACTTTGTATCCCAGCTGTAGCCCCCTCCAACATTCCCTCCCAATCCCACCCTTCCTCTCTCATCTAGGCCCATTCCATTCTCCAAGTCCACTGATAGGGGAGGTCCTCCTCCCTTTCCATCTGACCCTATCCTATCAGGTCTCATCAAGACTGGCTGCATTGTCTTCCTCTGTGGCCTGGTAAGGCTGCTACTCCCTCAGGGGGAGGTGATCAAAAGGCCAGCTACCATGGGCTACATCTGAGCAGGGGTTCTAGGTTATATCCATGCATGGTCCTTGTTTGGAGTATCAGTCTCAGAAAAGACCCCTGTGCCCAGATAGTTTAGTTCTGTTGTTTTCTTTGTGGAGTT